TGTTTACTCTTTCGTTGTGTTGATAGATTAGATGATTTGGCTTACTTTCATGTCGGGGTCTTTACTTTGAAATGATTATTGGGTAGGATATGTATTGGATTATTGAGTTAGATTTTTTTATTTTGATCATTTATTTTTAGCCTTGCTTTTTTAGAAAGAGTTGTTTATCCAAACTTGCAACTGTATTCTTGAAACTTTCAGAAAAGACAAACAACCTCACTAAGTAAGTTTCTTATGTGTTATCTGTTTAGTCACATTTTTGAGTTTTCAAATAAATAAAGTACATAACAAATTGATGTGTATTAAGTGTATTCAATAATAATTATGTTCCATTTTTAGGCTGAATTCCTTCTTCTATGACTGATTTTGAATGTTCCTACATAGTAGAATTTAAGAAATGTTTTGAATGTTGATTGTTTTCAAAAAGCTAAAATGAAGCTTGATAATCTCCATACTATAAACTAAAAGATATGTAATTATGAAAGGATGTTTCAAATTAAATTGTATTTATTGTAATTAAAAGTATTTTTGAATAAAATTTTTTTTTTTTGTTTTTTTAAAATTTATTTTTTTTATTTTATCTCAAGAAAACTTTTTAGTTTGTTTCTCAAATAAGTTTCTATATTTTTTATCTTTATTATTTTGGAGTTTTGAATAGATATACTAGCTATTTTTGCTTTGTTTTTTTATATCTCTGTTTACTTTTTATATGTAAATGGAAACCATTTATACTATCACCCTGTGTACTATCAGGACGGTTTTCATTTGTATTAAAGGGATCCCTAAGTGCTCCTAACATATGATCTCATATGAAAGAGCATAAAAAAAAAATATGTAAGTTTTTTTTCTTTTTCCCTAAATTGTAATAATAAATGCATGCTAACAAAAAGCAATTGCCGAAATCACTAAAAAACAACTCCATTTTGATTTTATTTTTTCACCATTGAAACTCGATTGTTAGTCGTTAAAAATCACGTTAGTACGTCACAACAACTTTAGAATGTCTACTTCGATTTTCAAGTAAAAAAAAGTCGTGATTAAATAGTTAAGTTTTAATCAAGTTTTTTAAATTAGTTTTGCAAAAGCAGTATAATAGCATTCGGTTGAAAGACGTCGTTAAAAAAAAGTTATTAAGTAATAGTTTTAAATAGTTTAGAACTTATAAAAAAGTCTTACAGGGCTCGTATTAAGCGTATCGCGATCGCGATTGCTACACACACTTTTGTGATTAGTTTTTTCTTAAAAAAAATCTTTTCGCGACTCGTTTTTTTTTTTTTCAATTTTCTTTCAACGTAAAACATTTTTGAATTTAAATTACATTAAATCTCTGCGTGGAAAATTTTTACAAGGTCGTTAAAGCGAAAAGTTGAAAAGTTGGTTTTTATCTTTGTTTATCAAAACTTCATGTTTAAAATAATGCTTAAAAACGTTAGAGCAAAAAAATTACTGACTTTTATTTGCATTTTTATACTGTTTGAAAAAAAAACTAATAAAAAAGAATTAATATATAAATATTAATTAATATATTATTAGTTAATTCTTTTTTATTAGTTTTTTTTTTCAAACAGTATAAAAATGCTAATAAAAACCAGCAATTTTTTTACTTTAACGTTTTTAAGCCTTATTTTAAACATGAACTATAATTCAATTTATTAAACCAAATTTTTTTGTTTTATCTTTTATTGGAAAACTTGAAATAGAAAAATTGAATAAAAATATCAACCATTTAAATGAAAAACTTAATTATATTTAAACTTTTATTAGTCCTTTATTCAAGAAACAATAAATTATAAAAAATGTGGTATCTAATTTTTTATTAAATTTTTGACGATGTTTTTTGATTTATTGACGATAATTTTTTCCCCCCATTACCGCACATCGGCGCGAGCTATAAGAGAGATGGGAGGGGGGGGAGAGAGCTATAAGAGAGAGGGGGAAGGGGAGAGACCTATAAGAGAGAGAGAGAGGGGGGGGGGGGGAGAGACAGCAAAAAAAATTTTTTTTTCGCAATTAGATTTTTTTGCGTTAATTCGAGCCCTGTCTTAGTTTAATTTCTAATAAAATGTCTATTCAACCTTATCAATTTGAACCAAAAAAATATAGCAATTTAACATAAATGTTAATTTAACTAAAACATTTTACAATCATTATTTTTTTTATCAAGCAAAAATGAGAGTAACCGTCACTTTTGAAACCATAAAAATTACTGAAATAAATTAATTTTTTTACTAAGGAAATATTTTAAATAAACTTTCATATGTCTAAGTCAATATTCATTTATTTTTAATTGACTAAAAAGAGTTTAAAATTTGACTTCTATTCATTTTTAACCGTGGAATTGCCCTTATAACACAAATATATAAATTAATATTATAAAAAAAAATTTAATATACAAATATATTTTTACAAAATGCTACAAAACTTATTCTTGTAAGTAATTATGTGTTAGTTGAAAAAAAACAACTTTACTTTTAAATTTAATTACCAATTAATAAGTTTGCAATAATGACATTTTGTCTACTTTGTTTAATTTGACGTACTAACGTTAGTTTTTTGAGGCAGTAGAGTCAATAAACTTTGGACAAGGCGCATTTTTTTTAATCGAAGAAAAGCGTTTTTTTGAAAATTAAATTTGTTAGTGTGTGTTCATTATTACGTTTTAGAAAAAATAATATACATCAAACATTTTTTTTTTTAATGCTCTATCATATGAGATCATATCTTTGTAGAACTTAGGGATCTCTTTAAGTCTCGATTGCACAAACAATAGGTTTAAAAATTTATTTGCCTAATACCGCAGTAAAAACAGCTTAATTGTTTGAATTTGTAAACTGTTTTTTTACTGAAAGGCTTTTATAAAAAATATCAAGCAGAAAAGCTAACTTAATTGAAATAACTAGGCCTCTTTTGGCTTGGCCCTTTTTTTAATGTCCAAATTTGCTTTTTAAACAAATCCTTATGAGAGAGTTAAAATAATATCATAGCATAAGTTTCTAAAAACACCTGAAGAATTGATAGGCAACTGTCTTATATGCTAGAGATACTTTTATTATTTTATTATGTAGAAAATATTAATGTAATAATTAAAAATGCTAAATAATTCTTAAGTATAGTAAATTAAAAATTAACCAAAAGCCAAGAATTTCATATAGTCAGTAAAATGCTAACTGCGTACTTTTTAGCGAGCCAAGACATTTTAATGAGCACAACAGTCATAATATTTAAAATATTTGCTCATCAACCCGTATCGTATGGGTCATGACAGGTAGTTTTTAATAATCATCATAGAGGTGTACAATTGTGGTCCCCCCACGGTACCAGACAACTGAATTTTGTGAAGAGCGACTAAAAATACTCCTTTGATGCAATTAAGTCGCCTGAAAAGGCAACTATTGATTTTTAATGGCAGTTCTATTTTTTTTTTCAATTCAAGAATCCTATAAAAAGAAAAGTAACTATCTAAAATAATTATAAAACTATATTTTTAAAGCCACAATATATAAGTTCATTTTCCACATTTTCTTTTATTAATTAGAACATAAAAAAATTCTATGAGCATTTAAACATATTTTTTTGTATGAATGTATGAGCGTTTAAATGTATTTAGTAAAAAACTTCCTAAATAAAAACTTAAAAGTTTTATCGTTTAAACAAAAATACTATTTTATTTTTATTTTTTTACAAATTTTATTTAAGGATTTAGAGATAAAGTAGTAGAACTAAATTTGCCAAAAAAAAAAAACTTTGACAGCCTTGAAGCATTATGCAGCTTGCTTATTTCATAAATGTTGAAAGCGTTTAGTTAAGCAAAAACTTTTTTGTAAAATATAAACATCTAAAGCGTTTTAGTTAATTGACATTCATGAATATAAATAAAATTTCGCCATTCCGGCCTGAAATATTGTTATTGCGGCCGGAACTGGAAAGACCTAACAGTCACAAATTTTGGCCAGAACAGAATTCCGGTATATCCCTATAGATTACATAGATTATTACATACAAAAGAAAATTCAAAACTTTTTATCCTATAAAAAGAAAGAGGTCGTTTTATTTAAGAGAAATCTTTTCACAAAAATATTTTTTTGTTTCTTACTAATTCAATATCGTGAAAAGTTTTTTTGATGTAATATGTTTATGAACATGAATTGCGTTAACAAATATCTTATTGGTAACTAATAAAATCTATCAATAAATTGTTTATAATCTTTATTAAAAATTCTACATTAAATACTTAAAAATTAAAATAAATAAATAAATTGGGATAAACAAACAAAAGATTGTGTTAAGTATAAGATTGTTTTGAGAAATAAATTATGAAAAAATATTATCTTTTTCAAATGCTGAATTTTGATTCTATTAATAATTTTTGTAAATAACTTTTATTGTGGTTTAAAAGTAAGTTTAATTACAACGCAACACTTTAAAATACATTCAAAATATCAATAGCTTTTAAGCTCCTGTAACAAATAAGATCTTTATAATTACAACACATTAAGAGCATAGGGTTTTAAAGTATTTGTATATTGTTATTTATATTCGTCAATACTTTGTTGTTGTAAAAAAAGCAAATATTTTTTTGATAAAATAAGAGCATAATTCAAGTGAACCTAATGGCGTATATATCAGCATGTGCTTTATCTGAAAGTATAAAAGTGAATGTTATCAATAGTTTACAATATTACTTTTATTTAGGCAAATTATTTCTAGGCTAAACTTAGCCTTATAATGAAAAATGATTAAAATATGCAAGAAATCTGCTGAATGAGAAAATATTAAAAAAAAAAAGCAACAGACGACTCAAAAAGTTGGCGGGTGACCCAAAAATAGGGAACTGGATTACTTTCAGTTGCCCTTCTGGCAACCGACCAAAAGTCAGTGTACACATATATATATATATATATATATATATATATATATATATATATATATATATATATATATATATATATATATATATATATATATATATATATATATATATATCTACTAAAAAGTCTTACTGTTCTTTGAGGTCTACAAACTGCTTTTCTAAATCATTCATATCTTGCAAGTACCTGCTTCTTCTCTCTTCTGCCTCTGCCTCATCCACTTTATTAAAAAAAAAAAAAAAAAAAAAAAGATTATTTACTGAAACAATAAAGATGAAATATTATATATTAGTGTTAGTATTCAGTAGTTGAAATCGTGAGAAATTCTTTGACTAGAAGTCTTATTTTGCACAGCACAACTGTGAAAAACTTTGACTAGAAGTCTTATTTTGCACAGCACACATTCGATTAGGTTTTAGTAAAAGCTCAAGTTACATTCAAGTTTTTTTTTAACTGTAATAGTAAAAACATGATACAGTGGAAAAAAACTATAAACTTAAGCAGACAACTTGTCTAAATATAATGCTTCAAAAATATTTATTTTCATTGTAAGCCTTTGGCAGTCTCTAATTTTCTTTTGAATTTCAAATCTTTATCTAACCAAGCACCTAAAAATATAAAGAGTTAAGAGTGTTTATAAATAATTTTGGTTGGGTGGGGGTGGTTAGGATTTTATGACAAATGGAAGGGAGGGGGTTTTTTATGTTGAATATAAAATTTTTTGTAGTTTTTTTTTAAAGTTTATATTTTTATTTTATCTAAAATAAATTTCAAATAAACTTGATATAATTTATGAACAACCCCTTAAATGAAAAATCCAAATAATTATATAAATTTCAACAATATAATTTTTAATCTGAAAGTTAAAAGCTGTTCTTTTGGGCTGTTTGTAAACTACATTGCGCTTTTTTGTGCTTTTTGAATCCTTACCCCTCTTGTCAGAAAGTGTTCTGACAATCCACTCACCCTATCCCACTTATAGTACAACATAATTTAACACCATACCCTATTCCTTTTTTTTCCATGGGTATTTTAGTATTTTTAGGTACTTTACTAAACGAATATTTATAATTTTAAAATTTTTTTAGACTAACAAAGGTTCTGGATGAAAATGAAGATTAAAAATAATAAGACTATTGCACTTGACACCATTTGATCACTAATCCTATGATATTTGTCAAACTTTGAAGTTGAATATTTTTTGAATAATATTTTAGAATATTATTAATTTTAGAATTTTGTGATGTTATTGTTGTGTTGCTTTGTATTGATAGATGACTTGGTTTACTTTCATGTCGGGGTCTTTAGTTTAAAATGATTATTGGGAAGTTTCATCACTGAAACTGACTAACGATTCACTAAAAGCTAAGGATTCAGTTTTCAAATAAAAACTATGGTTTATCTTATTGTGATAATTTATTTTTAGCTTTGATTTTTTAAAAGGAGTTGCTAATAAAAACTTGCAACAATAAATCTTGAAACTTTCACAAAAGAAAACCAACCTCACAAAGTAAGTTTCTTATCTGTTATCTGTTTAGTCACATTTATAAGTTTTCAAATAAATAAATAGAGTACATAACAAATTAATGTGTATTAAGTATATTCAATAATAATTTTGGTCCATTTTTAGATCGAATTCCTATGACTGATTTTGACAGTTCCAACATAGCAAAATTTAAGAAATGTTGATTTGTATTCAAAACACTAAAACGAAGCTTGATAATTTTCATACCATTTACTAAAAGATATATAATAATGAAATTAAATTTAAATTCTTTTTTAAGCATTTTTTATGTTGAATATAAATTTTTTTTAGTTTTTTTTTAAAGTTTATATTTTTATTTTATTTAAAAAATATTTTGTTTGTTTCTCAAATAAATTTCAATATTTTTTATTTTTGAAATTATTATTTTGAATGGATATATTGGCCATTTTTGCTGTTTTTTTTTTTTTTTTTAATAGTTCTGTTATCTTTTTATAATTTATTTGCAGTAAAAACAGATTAATTGAATGAATTTGTTGAGTTTTTTTTTACAGAAAAGCTTTTATAAAAAAAATCAAACAAATAAAGCTAACTTATTTGAAAAAACTTTTTGGGCCATTTTTAAATATCCAAATTTGCTTATTAAATAAGTCTTAATGAGACGAATAAGGTATTAATATCATAGCCTAAGTTTCCAAAAACACCTGAAAAAATATTATGCAACTGTCTTATATTCTAAAGATACTTTTATTATGTAAAAAATATTGAAGTAAATAAGTATTTATGTAATAAGTATAACTACTAAATAAGTTCTAAAGTATAGAAAATTAATTGCTAACCAAAAGGCAAGAACATTAGGTAGTCAGTAAAATGTGAACCATGACATTTTAATGACCACAACAGTTATGATCTTTAAAAAACATTAGCTCATCAATTTTTAAAATTAAACATAATGGTATTTAATATATTTTATTTAAAATTAGACTATTTCTTTTAAATTAATTATAATTTAACATCCAATATATAAATGGTTTGCAAAGAAATTGGCATTTTATCTACTACCAGAACTTTAAATAGATTTTTTGCCGTTTACGAAAATAAATTAACTACGAAAATAAATTTGGGTGTGGAATAGACTTACCACAACCTGTATCCTACGGGTCATGACAGCTATTATAATGAAACTATATAAATAAAAAATTATAAATTTTTCAATAATGCTTTAATTAAAATCATTAGCTGCTTTATTTAAAAGCATTTTGCAAATAAAAAAAAAACGTAAGTAAAGATAAATGTGTCAAAGTTTATTATTTTCAATATAATTAAAAACCAATTTTTTCAGTGCATTTGTTAAAAACTGTGGTTAAATCATCAAAACAAAATATTATTTGTGTGGTCATATAAAGACTTGAAATCGCATGCCTTCATGGCCAGGTATATAATATGTATGCATAAAGCGCATCTTGGAAGCTTTTTATTCTTTCTGGAATAAAAGTTTAGAAGCTTTTATTCCTTATCTTCAATTTTAAGTCAAGCCTCATTCTACTCCAAATTTTTCACTATCTTGAGCAGTTGCTTTATTAAACAATGATCATTTTTTAAATCTTTTTTCCAAAGAAGATTTCTCTTAAGAATAAATGTGTTTTTATTATTTTGTAAAGCCAATGTAAAAAAGTCCTGTCTGATGTTAAGCTCTGTTATTCTCAGTTTACTAAATCTCAGAGCTTGTTTTAAAGCGTTAAGCTGCCGGTAATTTACGCACGAATTGCGTACGCCTAGAGCAATTTGCATGAAGCAACTTTAGATATTTTTTCAACTTTTAAATTACTCTATTAAGCGGTAATATAAAAGAAGTAATTAATTTTATAAAAAACCACTTTGATGATTATGTAAAAAAGTTTGAATGACAATTATGTTAGATATAAGTGCTATTTACTAATGAAAAAAATTAAAAACTACAAAAGCTTAATCTCTATTAAGCTAATTATTTTATCAAACAGAAAACAAAATTGTTTATCGTAACAATTATTTTTTTTTATTTTATGCATTTTTAATAAAATAAAAGAAAACATAAAAGAAATATATATAATAAAAAATTTTATTTATTATCTTGAGAGGACAAGAATTGTTTATGCAACTTTTGATAACATTAAAAAAATTTACTTAAATTTCTATTTCTATAGTAATAAATAATTTCTAATTAATTTTTTTTTTTTTTTTGTAATGATCGATTTTTTCGCTTGAAAAATGCTAATGCTTTAAGCTTGAAGCAAAGATCATTATAATGTAATTTATTTCTGATTAAAAAATAAATGATTTAATTCAAAACTAATTTAACAAAAATATATAATTTTATTCTGATAAAAAAAAATTTAATTTAGATTTAAAAAATATATAAATAAATTTTTATTTATAAAAATATATTTAAGTTTATTAAAAATAAAGTCAATGCTTGGATTTAACTTAACTATCATGTTTTTTTTTTAAATATTACTAAATATTATTCAATATTTGAATTTAATTTGTTCTTAAAAAAAAATTAGCTCATTTTTATCGCAATTGTTTTTTCAGTTTTCCTTACATTTTTTTATTACTCAAAATTAAATTTTAAATAAATAGCTGCATTAAAAATTAGTACAAAATAAATGTTAAAATTTTTTTAATGTATATATGGCAAGTTAAATCGCAGCGATAATTTTTAATAAATGTTGTTTAGAAAAATAATCTTTGCTGTCACAACAAAATCATTTATATAAAAATAAACTTTTAATAAATAAAAGATTAATTAACGTAATTTTTTTATGTTACTCGCTAATTTTTTTAAAATAAAAAAATCTTCTTTAGCTGCAATTTTTTTTAATGATTAAAAAAAATGTGCAAATATACTTTTTTTTAATGATTAAAAAAAATGTAAAATTTTTTTTTTTAAATTAACATATTACAAATGTTGAGAAAAATAATTTTTTACATAAAATTTTTTTTTTAATTTAATATCAAATTTAATTATTTAATATAAAAATAAATAAATAAATAAACATTTTGTATTAATAAAAAACGAGTTAAACAATATTTAACTCGTTTTGCGGTAACCTTAATATTATTGCAGTAATTTGAAAAAGTTAATGTCTTTAAAAAATAAAAAGATAAAGAGATTTTTATGACGTTAATCTCACATTAAGCTGATGCGTTAAACATATGTTATTTAAAAAAAGGCCAGAAATCTTGTATCTTATCTCAGATGTTAGGTTCTAGAGACCTTTGGCTAGTTTTCAACAGTGTCATTAACTAATGTAAGTCTAACATTTAATCTTCTAAAAATTCTTAGGCTTGATCTTTCTACTTTTCCCCAGAATAGAAAAGAGTTATTTGCAAAGAAATCTTACTCTGATTTGACTCTTGAATTTAAAGACCATACTCTTCCTACCAGATAAACAGAATAACCAATTGTTAAACATCAAAATTACTCTGGCTTCCAATACTAAAGTTATTTCTTAATTAAAAACTTTTAAACTTTGTGCTTCAGACAAAATTTCCATCATCAGGAACTATTCTAGAACATTAAATTAAAAATCAAAGACCTTTTGCTATTTTTTTAACGTTTTTTATGGTAAATATTGTTTTTTTTTGCAACACCAATATTTGGCAATATTTCCTCTAAACTTCTTTGGGACGGAAGGTACCACCGCCCTTTTAATCTGATCTCTCTTTTGCGACAACCTAAGGTTTGCAGTGGTTTA